TGGTACCAGGGATTGAACTCAGGGGCACTAGACCACGGAGCCACATCCCCAACCCTATTTTGTACTTTATTTAGAGACAGGGTCTCACTGAGTTGCTCAGCACTTCACTGTTGCTGAGGCTGGCTTTGAACTCACAATCCTCCTGTCTCAGCTTCCCAAGCTGCTGGGGTTACAGGTGGGTGCCACCGCACCCAGTGTCAGATTTCTTAATAGGTCAAACAGGTAGAGCTTGATCACTTACTGGGAGGAAAAAAGGCATTCCAAAAAGGGAGACAAGGGAACTTATACCCACAATTTTTTACTTACTCAGCTGGTTCCGAAGCAACTTCAGTTCCTCTCGCAAAATCTCTGATTCTTTCCACAGTATTTGCTGCCTACAGAAGTAATGGCAGTCATTCTACAGTCAACCAACAGAGCGAGGAGGCAATAAGCCTCCTGGAATACCAAGAGTTCAGAGGACTCAAGAAAGTGAGGCCTATCACTTACTCAATTTGGAGCTCATGATGAAAGCCACTGGTAGAACTGTAGTTTCCTGGTATTTTTTTCATTTGGACTTGGGCTTGGGCCTGCTCCCATACCTGATTCTGAAGGCTTTGCAGTTCCCTTCTCAGCCCCTCCAGGTGTTGTTCCAGGAGAAGAGCTCGACCTTCTGGGCCCCCCTGCAGCAACCTTAGTGATGCTATTGTGGTACAAATTGAGGGTTAGCTCCTCTGAGAGGTTCACACAAGTCTAGACTCTTCTTGCAAATCATGACACATGTGCACAAACAATAGGTATGCAGCAAAATCATGTGCACACATATACAGCAGTGTGTATGGGGAGCTGGGAGTTTAGCTCAGTGGTAAGAGTCCTTGCCTAACATAGCAAAGGGCCCTGGGTCCAATCCCCAGTGCTGGGGGAAAAAAATATCTGTGTATATGAAGAATTGAACTGATACCTTCCAGAGCACTGATCTTGGACATCTGTTGCTCTTGCTCTTCCAGCAATCTCTGAACAGTCTTCCTTAGTGCCTTAATTACCTACCCAGGCAGAAAAGCACATTAACTACTGCATAAAAGACTTTCCCACACAAACACCACATATACACATCTAGGATTCCAAGACTCACCTGAGCCTGAGATTGAACCTCCAATCGGAGAATAGTAACTTCATTCCAGAGAGAGGTTGGGCTATAGGTCTCAGCCCAGTTTAGTCTCTCTGGGACAGTGAGGGTCTCTAGAGCCCAAGGCTGTTGAGCTTGGTCTTCTGACTGGGGAGACAAGTGATGAGAGGAAATCCAGGATCCAGCCAGGTCCCCTGCCAAGGGAATAAGGGACAAGGACAGAATCTTTGTGTGGGATAAGAGAGTTCAGAAAAGCAAAGAGTTGGAATTTGGAAGAAATAGTGATGATACAGGCACTGGAAGAAGGAAGATCTTGAAAGAGAAAAGGCTGATGAATGAAAGGGGCAATACTTACCTGAGGTGGAGACCCCAAGGGGATACAGCCTCTGCTACAAAAGAAAGAGTTGTACAGGCCAATGAATTTGGTGTAGTCTAATCTGACCCCCCCCTCCCAAAAGAACAAGAAGAAGAACGAAGAAGAACAACAATTGGAGCCTCTGGTGCCATCTTACCTTAATGCGGGCCACATGCCCATCAGTTGCACGCAAAAGCACATCAATCTGGTCAGACCAGCTCAGGCTCCTACTCATTTCCAGTGACTGGGGTCTGGTTCCCAGACCACTCTTGCCCTTGTTCTTCCAGCAGGGGATACCCGAGGAACAGCCCAGGAAAGGCAACACCGTTAGATGGAAGGAGAGTGAATATGCAATACTAAGGATAGGGAGGCAATATCAGACCAAGAGTATGGCTCTTGGCAAGAAAGCAGCGTTCTCGGGGAAACAGAATACCCTGATACACAGATATCAAGTGGGAGTAGAAGACTTCAAATCTAGGTCGAAATCCAGGTTCCAGCTCCAGGACCCTGTAGCCATCACGCCAAACCTGTCAGAGACTGTTGCCGCTGCTAGATTCAAACCCTCCAGTAGGCGGAGAATGTATGGCTTCAGAATGGGCGCCGCTGCACCACGCCTCTAGCCAACTAGCTACCTAAGCGGCCGAATTACGTTTCCCTGAAAGACAAGTGCGTTCACGCCCCAATGTGAAGCTTGTCGGGACATCGAGTTTTTCAGACTCTGAAGCGGTACGCTCCAAGGACCAAACGAACTACGCATCCCGAGATGCCTACCATTCTGCCGCTACTGGTCCCAGTAGCTCCTGGGAAATGAAGTCCAAGCTACCTTGAACCTTAACGGCGCAATTATTCTTTAGACTCCATTCCCCAGCAAGCTCAGCGTGTAGCGTGCGCTATGGAGCCTCATGTCGCAGAACTGAAGCAGAAGATTGAGGACACGTTGTGTCCTTTTGGCTTCGAGGTTTACCCCTTCCAGGTTGGTTTATCCCTCCTGCGGTTCTAGGAAGAAGTGTAAGATTGGCCTTGGTGGAGTCGGCGTGAGGCCCGAGAACCTTCTTATCCTCCCCAACTTCCTCCGGCCCGGTGTCCATCTGACGACTGTGACAATGTGTCACACGTTTGTCCTTTTACCCCGATATGCCGGACTGAAGGATGGGATTCTGTAACCATAATTAACAAGAGAAAACATGTACCCGTGGGTCTGGAATCTCCTTAGAAGCTTCCTAAAGGAGTTAGGAAAGAACATGGCATGGAAGGTTTGCATGATTATAATTTAGAACAGCCGAGGAGGGAAAGGCATTCCCTGGTGTTGAACAAGAAACAATAGACTGTTTTGTTCTGTCTTCCAACAGAAGGATAATTCATGATGCTACTAACCATTGGTGCTGGATATAGAAATTATTTGCATTCGCCTGGCACAGATGTCTCTCACCCCCGCCTTCCCTTCCCCCACATTTTACATAAGTGTTTTCTTTTTCCTTTATTTATTTTATTTATATATTATATATTTTTATATAATACAGATAGATAGATCGATCCTGGAGATTGAACCTAGGGGCATTCTACCACTGAGCTACATCCCCAGACTTTTTTACATTCTTGTTTTGACACATGGTCTAATTTTCCCAACCTGGCCTTGAACTTGTGATCTTTCTGTCTTGGTCTTCTGAGTTGCTGGGATTACCAGCATCTGTCACCACATGGAGCTACATATAAGTCCATTTTCCTCACATTAGTGCTTGGTGCATTGAGCTTGCTTAAGTCACAATGTTAAAGATACATAAGGTAACTCTGCTTGAGCCATTTGCCTGATGCTTAAGAGGTAGCTTACTTCCCACTAATTCCACTGAGAGGTCCACAACAGTGTTGAGGGAAAGATATATAGAGACAGAAAAAAATAGGTTGGGTCTGCCTTGAGAAAGGATTGGCCAGAAAAAAATGAAATTGAGAGGGGCTGGGGATGTGGCTCAAGCGGTAGCGCACTGGCCTGGCATGCGTGTGGCCCGGGTTCGATCCTCAGCACCACATACAAACAACCATGTTGTGTCCGCCAAAAACTGAAAAATAAATATTAAATAATAAAAAAAAAATGAAATTGAGGGCTGGGGATATAGCTCAGTGAAGAGCACTTGCCTACCATGCATAAGGCCCTGGGCTCAATCATAGGTACTGCAAGGAAAAAAAAAAAAGAGCTATATATGAACAGATATATTGAAAGGAAAGAGGATTGTGTACATCTAATATACAAACTTGTGTAAAAGCATGGAGGTAGTGTAGTGATGGATGGCATGTGTGGGGGCACAGTGAGAATGCTCTGGCAAACCAGGTAGACCTGGTTAGTGGGGAATATTGTACTGAACAGAGCCAGCTGTAGGCCTGACAACCAACCTAAGCTGTTGCTCACCTTGTCACCCAAACATCCAATCAACCACCAATTCCTTCATCTCCTGAGTCTCCCAAGTCCATTGTTTTCCATTCCACTGATCTATGCTATAGTCCAAGCCACCATTTCTTATTTGGATTACTTTTAATAGCCTTCTTGCTGTCATCTTGCCTCTACATTGCAGCCAGATCTCACTAAAACCGATGTCATTTTACTCTTCAATCATAACCATCCTCTGTTACGGTTGTGACCTTCTTTACCTTCTTTAACTAGGCACTGTGGTGCACACCTGTAATCCCTGCAATTTGGGATGCTGAGGTAGGAGGATCTCAAGTTCTAGGCCAGCCTCAGCAATTTAACAAGTACCTAAGCAACTTAGCAAGACCCAATCCCAAAAAATAAAAAGGGCTGAAGTTGTAGCTTAGTGGGTAAGCATCCCTGGGTTAAATCCCTGGTATTTAATTAATTTTAAGGACTGGGGGTATAGCTCAGGGGTTAAGCATCCCTGCATTCAATCCCCAGTACCAAATAAATAAGTCCCTGTCAAAGTCACATGAGATGCCTATACAATGTAATGTATAATTACACAGCATCAGTGAAAATTTATTGAAAGAGTTGGAGAATGGAGCAAAATGTATAAGGCTTTGAATACCTGGTGAGGTAAGGGCTGGCTAAGGTTAATCAGCTGGCCAGCTTGGCCTGAACTTTCTCTGTTTTAGGTGGCATGGTACAATGAACTCCTGCCTCCAGCCTTCCACCTGCCCCTGCCAGGACCTACACTGGCCTTCTTGGTACTCAGCACACCGGCCATGTTTGACCAGGCCCTCAAGCCCTTCTTGCAGAGCCACCACCTCCAATCACTAACTGACCCTGTGGATCAGTGTGTGGCCTACCACCTGAGACGTGTTAGACAGGTGAGCAAACGTCAACTTTCACCCCAGCTCCCAAACTTACCCTTGCTCCCACTTTCTCTAAACTTAGCACAGGATCTGAACCTAGGGCTAGGATCCACCTCACATGTGAAATGATATCCTAAAACCAGCCTTGACATTCTATGATTTCTCCTTTTCATATCTAGGTTTTACCACCTTCCTTTAGCAGATCCCCAGTCTGAAGTCTGTCCATTCACCCTGCATTGGGAGATAACTATATGAACCTCAGACCAGGCTTAGCCTCTATGTGGAATAAGGATGAGCCCAACATCCTCCATTTCTTGTCTGCCTTTGACCTTTATGCTTTATGCAGTTTTGGGGGCCTTCTGAAGACAGAATATATCCCCGCCATAAACTTTCTTTCTTTTTTTTTTAAGAGAATGAATTTTTTATTTTTTAGTTTTCGGTGTACACAACATCTTTAGTTTCTTTTTATGTGGTGCTGAGGATCAAACCCAGTGCCCCGCGCATACCAGGCAAGCGCGCCACTGTTTGATCCACATCCCCAGCCCCATAAACTTTCATATACACATACATTTGTACACACAGTAGATTTCCCTACTCTGGTATTCTGAAGCGCAATGCTAAATCACTCCTCACAATGGAGACTTCCTGAGCAAGTCCTTGTACATTTCTTATGTATATATATGGGCCCTGTTTGGAAAGAACTGTAACTTTCCTAACTTTGGAGCCTCCCAGGTTAAGCTCATTTTCTTTTCTATACATGGACAGGACGGTGTTAACACACAAATTAGGGCTTCCTGGGATAAAATCACAACTCCCCTCATGCTGACAGGAGCCTCTTAATTCTGTCCCAGAGCCTCCCAGAGCTGCAGATGGAAGTCATTGCTGACTACGAGGTATACCCCAACCGGCGCCCTAAGATTCTGGCCCAGACAGCAGCCCATGTGGCAGGAGCTGCTTATTACTACCAACGCCAAGATGTGGAAGCTGACCCGTGGGGAACTCAGGTCAGAGAGCAAGTGTGAAAGAAAATGCCAAGACCCTCATATCCTTATCCAGTTCCATATTCCTCTGCCTTCCTTGACACAAAGCAGCTATGTCCTGGCCCATGGGCCAGCCCTATGATTTTCTAGAGTTTACCTGGGCATGTTTCAGAGCAGAAAATCTGGTCTGTTTTTAAAACTTGTCTCTTACAAGTCTATCTCAGGATAGAAGAGGCAACATAACGATCAGGACACCAGTGATAAGACTGGGAAGTTGACTGAGCCTTAGCCTAAGGGAGCTCTTACTCATACTCTTCATAAGAGTTTATGAAGGGTTGTCCACAAGAGAGGGACAGTTTTATAATTGGCATTGGCATCGGGTGTACACTTAGTGGGAAATAAGTGAACAAGGATAGCTTAGAATGGTGGAACTTGGGCCAAGGTGACCTCCATAACCTTGCTTCTCTTCATTCACTCCCCAGCATATAGCAGGTGTGTGCATACACCCCCGATTTGGGGGCTGGTTTGCCATCCGTGGTGTCGTGTTGCTGCCAGGGACAGAGACTCCAGATCTGCCACGGAAAAAGCCCCCAGACTGTGTACCTTCTAGAGCTGCCCGAATTACCCTGCTTGAAGGCTTCAATTTCCATTGGCGTGACTGGACTTACCGGGATGCTGTGACACCCCAAGAGCGTTACTCAGAAGAACAAAAAACCTATTTTTCCACCCCACCTGCCCAACGCTTAGCCCTACTAGGTTTGGCCCAGACCAAAGAGGAGCCTAGCCCTATATTCCCCGAGTTTCCCTTTACAACACTCACAAAGAAGCCCCAGATTCCCAGCAGTGCACGGAGCTGGCTCAGCCCCAGCATCTCGCCACCTGTATCCCCTGGCCCTTGATACCTTCCCTATTCTGTGGAATCCCATTTATAGTGGTACTTGCTAGGACTTGTGGCAAAAATAAGATTTTATTTTGGGTACAAGATGACCATTTCTTGGTCCAGATTTATTAAGAATAAGGAAGATTTGGTTAAGGCAAATCTGCACTTAACATTGGGTATGGGATTCTTGCCCCATTTCTATGGTGTGTGTCAAGGAAGTCATCCCCAAATAGTACCCTCATAGGGTTGTGGGGATTAAATAAATGTCTGGCATATAATAAATAGTATGTTGATATTTATTGAAGGCACTAGGAATCCTGTTCACAGATCCAGTCAGTTCTGAAGGGGTGGCACTTAGATAGGATTCTCAATAATGAATCTGCCCTAACCTGAAGAGCCTAGAAGAAACCTAACTTCTGGCTGAGTTTCCCTTAGGGCAATTGTATAGTGAGGGTCAAAAATGACTATCCTAGGGCTGGGGATGTGGCTCAAGAGGTAATGCTCGCCTGGCATGTATGCGGCCCGGGTTTGATCCTCAGCACCACATACAAACAAAGATGTTGTGTCCCTAGTACCTCCCCAAAATAATAATTACTGCCCTATATCATGGCTAGAAACCAGGGAAGGTAAAGTGATCACTATTTGTTATTTAAGCCCTACCCAAGGCCACCAGCCATGTGTTTTGTTTTCCTCTCCCCCTTTGACTTCCAAAAGGACCTAGGCCTACAATGCAGGTAAACAGGCATTTTTAGAGGCCAAACTTCCGATTCTCTGACAGCCCTCTCTATAAATTGGGAACATAACCTTCAACCCAACATACTTCATAAATCACAGTACCCTGGGCAAATACCATCACAGAGCCCGTTGTTCTCCCCCAGATGTATTAAAACAAAATGTACACTTGGTTCAATTTACTGGATCTACCTGTATTTCCTCTCAATATACTTTTAAGGCAGCTCTCCCTATTTTTCCCCTGAAGAAGGAAAGCAAACAAATATAAATTATTCTTAAAAATCAAAGATTAGGGGCTGGGATTGTGGGTTAGTGGTGGAGTACTTGCCTAGCATGTGTGAGGCACTGGGTTTGATTCTCAGCACCACATAAAAAATAAAATAAAGGCATTGTGTCCATCTATATCTTATAAAAATATTTTTTTAAAAAAATCAAAGATTAGTATCTGCTCTAAAATGAAGAATCATCAGGTCTCAGTTCAAGTTTAATAGAAACTACAAAAGATCAATGGGCTGATGCCCCACTACTGATCCATAATATACATCAGATGACCAACCCCACAGTATAGCTCAGGCCATTCCCACCAACAGAAGAAAGGCTGGTCTCCTCAACCCTAAAGGAAAGTTATATGTCTTAAGCATGAAAAAAATACAAAAGAGATTTTGTTCTCATGGGTGCCCACTGCAGCCTGGCACTAAGATGGCCCAGCAATCACTTCTGCTTGGAGAAATATTCTTTGCTTCTTTGGACATCAGGCTTGATGGTATCACTGCCAGGCTTCCAGCCAGCAGGGCACACTGCAAAAGAAAGGTAGCACTAATTAACTAACTACTCAGTGATATACACTACCCTCCTCCCAAGGACAAGAAATTGCCTCAAACCCAGAGCCCTATGGAGTCTAAACACACAGGCAATAGAAAACTTACCTGCAATTTGTCATTGAGCTTTCTAGTTTAAGGCTAATTATGTACAAATATTAACTGAATCCTCACCACAGTGCTAACATACTATTTTACCTAATTCATTCATGAAGCAACTGAAAGAAATTAATGTAACACCTCAAGTATGCTTCTAAATCTAACCTGTCTTAAAAAAAAAAAAGTGGCAAGACAAAGATCTGTGAATGGTAAATAGTACGTAAATAGGTATTCATTATGTTCTGCATAATTTTATGTATGCTTCAAATATTTTTTTCCCTCTTCCCTTACTGGAGATTGAACCTAGGGACATTCTAACACCATGTTAAGTCCCCAATCCTTTTTATTTTCTATCCTGAGGCAGGATCTCATTGAGTTGTTCAGATTACCCTCAAACTCGTATTCTTGCTGCCTCAGCTTACCAAATCACTGGGATTACAGGTGTATACCACAGTGCCCAGCTCAAATATTTCTTTTTAAAAGAAGTTTAAAATCGAGTAAGGTGGCACATGCCTGTTATCCTGGCAACTCAGGAGGCTGAGGGAGAAGGATCAAAATAAAAGCCCAACGGGGCTGGGGATGTGGCTCAAGCGGTAGCGCGCTCGCCTGGCATGTGTGTGGCCGGGGTTCGATCCTAAGCACCACATACAAACAAAGATGTTGTGTACAAACAAAAATGTGTCTGCCGAAAAACTAAAAAATAAATATTAAAAAATTCTCTTTCTCTCTAAAAAAATAAAATAAAATCCCAAGGGATGTGGCTCAGCAGTTAGGCACCACAGGGTTTAATTCCTGGTACTAAAGCTCAAGTCAGGTGTAGTGGCACACACCTGTAACACCAGAAACTCAGGAGGCTAAAGAGAATCAAAAGTTCAAGGCCAGCCTCAGCAACTTAGGGAGACCCTGTCTCAAAAAATAAAAGGGCTGGGGATATGGGTCAACGGTTAAGCATTCCTAGGTTCAGGCCCCCTGAACTGGCCTATAATCCCAGCTACTTAAAGCCTGAGGCAGGAGGACAACAAGTTCAAAGTCATACTGGGCAACTTAATGAGACCTGTTTAAAAATAAACAGGACTAAGTAGTTCAACGATAAGAATGTATAAAGTCCTAGGTTTAATCTCTAGCACTGAAAAACAAAACAGGAAAAAAAACTTTATTTATCTTTTTATAGAAGAGTTTCATCATTTGTCCATTCATTTGGGTTGTTTTTCACCTTGTGCAAGTATCTGAGTCATTTTTCTTTTTAGGTATATTTCCTAGGAGTAGAATTGCTGGGTCATGTAGGAATTCCATGTTTAGTCCTTTTTTTTTTATTAATAGTTACAGATTCTTAGGGATGATGGAAAAGTAATAGAAATAGTGGCAATGAGTATGCATATAAATGTAATTCATGAACAGAAAATTATACATTAAAAATTATTATACTATTAGCAGAAAATTAAACTTTTCATTAAAATTAAAAAAAAAAAACCCACCACCTGCTGCTTCCTCTAGCAATCTTTCAGAGATCTGAAAGAACAACCTCAGTTGGACTCTTCAGTTTTGTTTAATTCTGCTAAACTATAAAAAGATTACAAACTAGCAATGGACCTTGGACTAGTCTGACTAGTCAGACAAAGAGAGACCCCCAAGATGATTTTTCCATTTTCATTTGCTATCACCTTCTAGGAGATTTGTATTCACCAAAGTCTGATAAGAGAACAGGAAGAGTCTCTTACTCAAGTAAGAGAGAGGGAAGCCCCTTTTGGTCCAAGAATAATTTTGGTTGCCGATGTCAGATTATGCAAGCAGCTTTCTGGGAATAGGGTATACATGGAACAAGAACTAAATGGGAAGCCTGAAATTTCCATCCAACAGTTTATAAGTACTTAAAGAAAGTAGGATTAACTCAGCCGGGCACAGTGGCGCATACCTGTAATCCCAGTGACTTGTGGGGTGAGACAGCCTCAACTAAGCAAGGTGCTAAGCAACTCAGTGAGACCCTGTCTCTAAATAAAATACAAAATAGAGCTGGGATGTGGCTCAGTGATCAAGTTCTCCCGAGTTCAATCCCTGGTACTGAAGGGAGAGGGAAAAAAATGAAAGATTAATTCAAATAAAATACCTGTACCTAGGCTAGTGTTTGGCATCCAGACTCTCAAATCTTTGTTACAAAAAGGGCTTCAGTGACTCACGCCTGTAATCCCAGCAGCTCAGGAGGCTGAGGCAGGAAGATTGGAAATTCAGAGCTAGCCCACCTTGAAAAGGGCCGGGGAAATAGCTCAGTGGGTTAGTGCCCCGGGTTCATTCCCTGATTACCCAGAAAAAGGGATCTGCTTGCTCTAGTGAGTTGAGAATCAAGAGACCAATTCAGAACTATGGAAGCTTGGGTTCAAGAATCTAGCCTAGCCAAGAGCAGTGGTGCACATCTGTAATCCCAGAGACTGAGAGACTGAGGCAGGAGGATTGCAAGTTAGAAGCCAGCCTCAGACCCCCATCTCAAAATGAAAAATAAAAAGGGCTGTGGATGTGGTTCAGTAGTTAAGTACCCCCGAGATCAATCCCTGGCACAAAAAGAGTCCACAAGGGGCTGGGGATGTGGCTTAAGTGGTAGCGCGCTCGCCTGGCATGCGTGCGGCCCGGGTTCGATCCTCAGCACCACATACTAACAAAGATGTTGTGTCTGCCAAGAACTAAAAAAAAAAAAAAAAAATTAAAAAAAAAAAAAAAGCAGCAGAGGACAACTAAAATACATATCAATATTCATCAAGTATCAAAAATCATTAAAAAAAACAGTCCACAATATGTCAAAATGCATTCCACTGTCATGTATAACCAATTAAAACAAATCAAAAAAAATATTTTTTTTAGAGAGAGAAGAGAGAGAGAGAGAGAAAGAGAGAGAATTTTTTAATATTTTTTTTTCTTAGTTCTCGGCAGATACAACATCTTTGTTGGTATGTGGTGCTGAGGATCGAACCCAGGCCGCACACACGCTAGGCGAGCGCGCTACCGCTAGAGCCACATCCCCAGCCCTCAAAAAAATTTTAAAAAATAAAAAATATAAGTGAGCTATTGGAAAAAAAAAAAAGAGTCCAGTCTATATGCAGAGTCATAGGAATGGTCAATAAAAGGCACATATACTGTGCTACTCCCTGCTCCTTCTGTTCTGAGAGCTAAACCTCATCCCCCACCAGAGGGCAGTCTCCATTCGCCAACTTAATGCCTACAGGTGCTACTACAAATGGTGCTTCCGGGTTATCAGTGAGTATCAATGCTCACTAATTCAAAGTACCAGCCTTCCATTCAAGTCAAGCACCAAATGGGTCTCCCAAACATACATAATTATATCTGGATTATAAAAATCCTCTGTCCTGGGGGAAAAAATGAAAGCTAATCTAAATTATTTATCTCCTAGAGAAAGAAAATGAGATATAGGAAAGAAGTTTGCCCAAATTCACCAGTGTCCTTGACTTGATGTCAGTAGCACTTGATCAGAATTAACTTATCCTCAATGTCAGTAGCACTTGATCAGAATTAACTTATCCTCAATTATATTAAGCCTATTCCCCCAACACCCAGAAGTTGTGCCTCAGTAGCTGAGCTCTTCAAAACTAGTTAGGCCAGGCAGTGGCGCACACCTATAATCCCAGCAGGTTGTAGTCTGAGGCTGGAGAATCACAAGTTCAAAGCCAGCCTAAGCAACTTAGTGAGACCCCCATCTCTAATAAAATTAGAAAAAAGGGTTGGTGATATGGCTTATTGGTTAAGTGGCCCTGGGTTCAATCCCTCATACAAAAAATAAATAAATGAATAAACACCTAAGTTAGGAAGCTAGGGTTTATGGTATAGCTGAGTGGTAAAGTGCTTGCTGACCAAGCACAAAGCCCTGGGTTGAATACCCAGCACTACAAAGAAAAAAAGCCCACTAAGCTAACTCTTGAGTAGGATAATGTGGTCCCCTCTGATACCAACTATACTGATAGAGTGGGGAAAAGTCAAAAGTACCAATGATGAAGCAACAGGAAAAGAACCTACACTCCAATAAATATTAGACTAAAACCCAATAGATGGATGTGCCCAATGATGATTAGGTTTTAAAAGAAAAGCATTATCTTTGAACTTGAGACTTCCAATGAAAAATTGACTTTTATCTGAAACCTTCTAGTCTGGATCCCTCCTCCATTCTTCCATTTGTTGTTGTTTGTATCCTCTGCTTTTAAAAAGGTTTTTTGTTTTTGTTTTATGATATTGGGGATAAAACCAGAGGCTCTCTGAGCTACATAACTCAGTTCACTTGGGGAATGAGCTACATTTTCCAAACTAATAATTAATTAATTAAAAGGGCTGAGGAAGTAGCTAGTGGTGAAATGCCCCAATCCCCAGTACAACAACAAAAAAGAGTGCTTTGCTTCTAGATATGATTCTCAACCTTCTGTTTTGCCCTAATACATCTGAGATCCTCCTACATTTCACTCAGAACTGCAACAGTGAAAGTGGAAAGTATATAGCTGGAACAAAAAGCATTTATATTCTCCTCAAGCTTGTCTATTATTCCCAACTCCACAAATCACTGTAATCCAGATTTCAATTTCTAGACTAGACATAATCACCCTTTTCTTATTTTACAGCCTTTGTTTCTATAATCTTTCCCATCTTACCACCCTACTGTCCTGTTACCAGGCAGATGGCTTACCTTCCCCATGTTTGTCAGTGAACTGGAAGGCCTGAACTAGTCTCAGAGTCTCATCCACAGAGCGGCCAACAGGAAGGTCATTCACAGTGATCTGGCGAAGGATACCCTTATCATCAATGATAAAGAGGCCCCTGAGAGGAAGAGGTTGAAGGATGAGAAAAGCAATATAGGTTTAAAATTTTGCTTTGTTAGAATACAGAAGTTCAAAGTCCCAAGAAAATGGGCTAGTCTCCAAGACTTATACCAGCCTTACCATTAGTGAGGCCCCTGTATAAAAGAACAAAATGAGGAAGATCTCTCTTCAAATCAGGGCTCTAGCTTTCTTCAATTAAATTCTCCCGATGAATGTCAGATTCCACCCCATCCCAAAAAGTATGTACCTGAAGGAAATGCCTTCATCAGCCTTTAAGACTCCATAATCCTGAGCAATGGTGCGCTTGGGATCTGATATCAAGGGAATATTCATGGGTCCCAGTCCTCCTTGTTTCTTGGGTGTATTGATCCTACAGCAGAAAACACACATACAATCACATCCATTCAAAACTCTTGTACAGCAAGAATATTAACTGTACATATTCCTTGCCTACCCCATATTCCCAATCCAATTTCCCAAAATAACATCAAACTTTTCCCAGGAGTGAAGTGAATGAGAACATTTAAGGCTGGTCACCAATGTACGCTAGATACAACTCAAACTGCTTCTCTGCTGCCAGTTAGAATGATAAGAGGATCAGCATCATTATATTCTCTTCTGTGAGGACCCAGAAGCCAATACTTGAGAAAGTCTATTGCCAAAGCCTCCCAGGTGCGTTTAAGATGTCCTTATATACCAAGAGATTTACCATGCCAGATGACAGAAGTGAGAATCCACAGAAGCACCAATCACTTGGCAGTTAAGTTTTTTAAATTCTTCTGCCCTGTCACTAAAAGCAATGATCTCCGTAGGGCACACAAAGGTGAAGTCAAGAGGGTAAAAGAAGAACACAATGTATTTTCCTGGAAGGAGAAAAGGTTAGCATTGAAACAGACTTCCTTGCTTTATAAAGAGTAAATCAAGGGACTGGGGTTATGGCTCAGTGGTAGAGTGCTTGCCTCGCACGTGCAAGGCCCTGGGTTCGATCCTCAGCACCACATATAAATGAATGATATCCCTCCCAAAATAAATTTCTAAAGAAACAGAGGTCTTTTTAAGTGATGACATAGTATCTCTCGTGCTAAGATGTTCAAAATATTTCCAAGCAACAATTTATATAATCTGTCACATCAGGAAGGACAGGAATGAAAAACAGCTCCTTCTAGTTCCACACTTTATTTTCCTCCCTCAATGTTCTTAGCTGCCAGCTACAGAATAAACACCATTCAGTCTTAATTTCAATCTTTTCTGGGGCTGAGGTAGTGTAACATAATGGCAGGCTAGCAAGCATAAGACCTTGGGGTTTGATGCCAGCACCAAATACACACAGCATAAAAAAAAATAGTAACTTTTACCTTCTCCAGGTGGCTAATATTAGCATAAACTCCCAAGTTCTCTAAAGAAATAAAACCAAAGATGCAATTATCTATATGGCCTAAAGCCAGTACTTAAAACAATGCCCAGAAAAGGCTTACTTGGTGGGTTTTCCTCCAGACATGTGGTAAAAGACCAACAAAAGGAAGTCAGAGCCTTTGCACTTCTTCCAACATAAATCACAAGTAATGGGACAGTAGGAATTTGTGTGGTTTTATGTGTTACTGGGGATTGAACCCCAGGCTATGTGTATGCTAGGCAGGACAGGAAGATTTAAGTTATCTCATCATGAATCACAATAAATATTTTCCTAACAAACCTGACAAGACCCAGAAGAAAATTTTTAGAAGCAAAAAAGGTCCAAAAGAATTATAGAAGATAACTGAACTTCTAGCTACAATTTTACTTTAGTCACTGACATTACTACTGGTTGATCTTTACAATGAAGCCACCATCTCACCATACCTAATGGTTGTTGAACCATGGAACATTTCCAAATATTCACTTATTTCCAAAAGCAAGTATCCTTTGATTTATCTAAACAATCTCCAGGGTTTTGCCTAACAAACACTTTGAAGCCTCAGAAGGTCAAGCCCTAGAGAGTAGAGAGCAGCTCTGCAACCATATGCCTATGCTTTTGGGCCAGTGTAAAAGTGGTACTTACTTTGTTTGCCAGAAAAATTTCCTCCTAGGGCCCTATTTAATCTCACAAAAGTGTGATATGTCAGGAAATCTAAATGAAAGTTCTACCTAAAAGCTTAACTCCAACTGGGCATGGCATGCACCTATAGTCCCATCGACTTGGGACTCTGAGATGGGATCACTTGAGCCCAAGAATTCAAGCCCAACCTGGACAACATAGTGAGACTCCCACTTCAAAGATAGCTGATGTCAGGAATTGAAACTATACCACCCAAGAAAGGTACACTTGACAACTATATTTAAGGTTTATATTCTAAGGACTCTATAACCTCAATTGTCCCAGAAGACCAAGCTGCTCTGGGACTTCAAGTCAAGAATGGAAGAGTCTCCATAGAACTTGGCAAGTGTCTGCATGGAACTATGACAACAGAAAGAGGAGGTGTTCCAACTGCATCATGAACTCTTCCCTAGGGGTAAAACAGTGAAAGGAATGTGCCTGAGATTTCTACATAATAATGTAAGATCTATGATGCAAACCTTTCACAAACTGAATAAGCAAAATCACAAGAGCTCTCAGACTAAATGTAGAAGTTCTATTATACAAGATATAATAATGTTTCCCTTAATGTAATTGAAAAGGGACACTGAAAAGGTAATTAAGCTAGCATGTCCACACAAAATGAAAAAGCATACTTTCTCCAAAAGTATAAAGGTTTGACCTAAGATATCTCTCCTGTTGATAATCACATCAACATAAAGGTTAACAGCCTTTTGCTCTGAAGACTGTCCTAGGAGACAAAACATTTTATAGTCAAATATAAGAAACACAGGCAAATCTAACAAATCATCCCTAGATTATAAAATGATTTTATTTTACCTGTAAACCCAGTGGCTCAGAAGGCTGAGGCAGGAAGATCATGAGTTCAAAGCCAGCCTCAGCAATTTAGTGAGGCACTAAGCAACTCAGTGAGACCCTGTCTCTAAATAAAATACAATTAGGGCTGGGGATGTGGATGTGGCTGAGTACTGAGTACCCAATTTCAATCCCTAGTACCCCCCTCCCAAAAAAGATTTTATTTTAATGAGCCCAACTTAATTACTCTTACCTTTGTAGTCAGACAGACTAATATCTTTGAACTGGCCATCTGGCATCACAGCTGTAGCTTTGAAGTTGGGGGCAGGGTGCCCAATTTTGGCATTTCCTGAAGACATCCTGCTATCAGCTGGAAAACATAACAAATGAATTAGAAACAAGTCATACTGTTCCAGATAGCCAACAGCCTTCACAAACATAGAAACTTAGCTACAGATTCATCAAAGAATTGTCCAGTGGCTCTGAATAATATTAAATTTTATATTAGTAAGAAGCAGAAGCTAGCAGTCGAGTCAAAATAAGAGATTTTCAGGGGCTGGGGTTGGGGCTGAGCAGTAGAGTGCTCAACTAGCTTGTGCGAGGTGCGGGGTTCGATCCTCAGCACCACATAAAAATAAAATAAAGGTATTGTCTCCAACTACAACTAAAAAATATAATATATATTATATATATATGCACTTTTTTTTAAAGCTTTCCAACTTTTGGACCAATACAAACCTCTGAATCTCAGCCTTTGTTTTCAATTAAAAATAGCTCAGCAATTTCTTTATAAACTGAAGTCACCTCCATCACCCTCACTGAACCATTATTTGTGCAATGGCATTTTGTTCTGCACATTTTTTAAGAAACAGAGAGGGGGGCTGGGGATGTGGCTCAAGTGGTAGCGCGCTCGCCTGGCATGCGTGCGGCCCGGGTTCGATCCTCAGCACCACATACCAATAAAAGATGTTGTGTCCGCCGAGAACTAAAAAATAAATATTAAAAAAAAAATTCTCTCTATCTCTCCTCTCTCACTCTCTTTAAAAAAAAAAAAAAAAAAAAAAAAAAAAAAACAGAGAGGGAAGGAGGTGGAGATTCAGACCAGAACCCAAATGGCATAAAGCCACAAACACTGAATGCCTGGCTCCTCAAAAGAGTCATGTTGCCTTTCTTTGAACTGTGCCTACATTTGCCTTCATAATGTGGGATGACATTTGTCCTTTCTCCAGGTAGATTTGTCCAAGAGAGCACATAATCTTAAACCCAATCCAGGGATGGAGTGTAGTTCAGTGAAAGCCTATTCAAGTGTGAGGCTCAGAGTAACTTTTCCTGCCACCACTAAAACGAATAAATAAAGCCAACTTTTTAAAAGGCAAGGCCAGGGTATTGGCATCTACTCAGTTTCAAAATTTTAGGTGTTGTGTTTATGCAAAAGTCCTTTAAAACACAAGTTTCTGACCTCAGGACCAAGATCCTGGCATTAAAAGAAGCAAACAAGGGGCTGGGGATGTGGCTCAAGCGGTAGCGCGCTCGCGGCCCCGGGTTCCATCCTCAGCACCACATACAAAGAAAGATGTTGTGTCCCCCGAGAACTAAAATAAATAAATTCTCTCTCTCTCTCCCTCCCCCCCCTCCGCTCTCTTAAAAAAAAAAAAAAAGAAGAAGCAAACAAGATTCAATTTATTGCTAAAACGCAACGCTGCGCTGGATTCACCCAGGTCAAAACCAAGTAAATTGTTGAGACTTAAATCACTAAGTCATCAATCTGAAAGCCTCAAGAATCTAATTTTCGGGGCTGGGGATGTGGCTCAAGCTGTTGCGCGCCAGCGGCCTGGTTCAATCCTCAGCACCACATACAAACAAAGATGTTGTGTCCGCTGAAAACTAAAAAATAAAATATTGAAAAATTCTCTCTCTCTCTCCTCTCTCACTCTATCTTTAAAAAAAAAAAAAGAATCTAATTTTCCAAATCCCAAAGTTTTTCCTTCATAATACCATAACCGAAAGAAACGTCGGTTCCAGGCTCGGGGGAGCACGCCTGTAATCCCAGCTACTTGGAACTAAGGCAAATTCAAGGCCAGCATAAGTAATTTAGTGAAACCCAGCCTCAAATAAGGGTGGGGAGGGGGAGCATGGGAGGAAATAGACAATTCTAAATAGGGCGGGGTGGGAGGGAAAGGTAATGGGGTTAGAAAAGATAGTGGAATGTGATGGACATTATTATCCAAAGTACATATATAAAGGCATGAATTGGTGTGAATATACTTTGTATTCAACCAGAGATAAGAAAAATTGTGCTCTATATGTGGAAAAAGAATTCTAATGCACTCCACTGTCATATATAAATAAAAAAAAATATTTTTAAAAAAAGGGTGGGGGCCGGTAATCCCACCAATTCAGGAGGTTGAGACAGGTGGATTACAAATTCAAAGCCAGTCTCAGCAATTTAGCAAGGACCTAAACATCTTTAGGAGACCCTGTCTCTAAATGAAAAAAAGGGCTGGGGATGTGGCTCAGAGTTTAAGTGTCTCTGGATTCAATTCCCGTACCAAAAAAAAAAGAAAGAAAGTGGGGATGTACCTCAGTGGTAGAATGTCCCTAGGTTCAATCCTCAATACTGGGGGGCGGGAGGGGGCAAAAGTTCTGAGCTTCTATTGTCGCAAACTTTTTACTGTTTAAAAGAAGAAATCTTTTAACACCTTTAGCAAAAAATATGCTGTAACTTAGCAACCATCCACAGGGTGTGACCCTAACAAAAATGGCCTTCTTGAGTAAACATGTTTTGCACGGTGGCCTGCACGTCCGAAGCCCAACCAATCTGGGAAAAGGCAGACTTCCGGCTGGTAGCGGGCCCCTTCACGGAATCTAAGAACCTTGGCCAGGAATGTGAACCAAACCCTACTTCAGATACTCCTGCCACCGTCCCCCGACCCCTAACACTTCGGAAAACCCCCACAAACCACAGAGCTGCAAAAAAGTTGAACCCTCCCGGCAGGAGTGTATTATCAAAGAAAAGACTTCACCACCCGTAGCCGGTCCCGCCGCGCCAATCAGCGCTCTCTACTCGGGCTGCCGTGATGATAGGAAATTAACCTCGGATTTCCCCAGGCCTCTGCACCCACCGAGTGGGCCACGTGGGGAGTACGCTTACAGCCTGAGCACTGTCCAGCACCAGGCCTTGCCTTGCCACCTCACCCCTGAAGAAGCGCAGGAAGCCAAGGAAAAAACAGGAAAAAGACGATGCGCCAGTATGAAGCGCTGCACCTGGCTCTGCCAGGGCCGTGCTGTCCGGGGACTCACCAGTTCAGACACGAAAGTTTCCAACACTCTAGAAACCACAACCAGCAAGGAAGAGGACGCGCGAAGCAAGCGCGGGGCGCTCGTTTTATAGCTAGCAGGACTCTCGCGAGAGTTGAAGCGGGTTGGGGGTGTGGGAGGAGGAAAGAGGAGGGGGATCCGGCGGAGTCCCGCCCGCCACAGCCCCATGAGGGTGACTCGGCACTTTCTTGTGCCCGGTCGTCTTTGGGCCCAGAAAAGTACCTGTGGCTTCTCTGCCAGGGCTGGCCTGGAGACGAGGTACCCTCATGACCGCTCTCTCCTTGATCAGGGATCTCCGCGGGGAACCGAACCCGCATTCCCTTTACTTCCCAGACCCGGACCGTGCAAGGGCACTACCCAAACCAGGGTAAAGGTCCTCGCTGCTGCCCACGGAAGACCACGTCTAGCCATCCCAACTTCTGAGAACTGTCTACCCAAGTACTTCTCAGGTCCGTCCGGGTCCTCCAGCCTTTCCTAGGCTGGCCCTACATAACCCTGACTGCTTCGACAGGCTCCTCCATTGTTTATAGCAGGGATGCTTCTTTCTCCCATCCACCCATCCCTCCTTCCCTTCCACTGAGGTTGAATGAAATCTTTATGAATCTGATCATGTCAGTCCTTTGATTTGTGGTTTAAAAATCTGGGGCTCTATAGTCAATTTCCTGAGTTAAAACTCACTCTCATTTTATATGTGAATTTGGGCAAGTCTCTCCTAAGCATTATTTTCTCACTTTTAAAATGAAAATAATAGACTTAATTGAGATAGTCTGTAGCTTTTATAACACAGCATCCAGCTCTTTACTGTGCATTAGAAGTGTTAGCTATTATTACTACTATAACTTTTCCATCCTGTTCACATGATAATACCCTGAACAGTGTAATTGTTTCAAAACAGTAAGTAGGCTTTTGTTCAAGCCAGGGGAGCCCATGACCCCTAGTTGGCCTAGAAAAAAAACGTCTTTAAAAGTCTCAGCTGGGAAAAAAAAAAAAAAAAAAGACTCAGCTGAAACTTTATTTCCTCTAAAGCTGTTTCTGACCTTGCTTATATCCACCCAGACTTAGTCTCAAATTGTTATTGACCTTCACTCACCGGAATTGATCATTACCTACTTTGTACCCAAACAATGCTTTTGAGGTATTTTACTTGTTTACATGTCAGCTTCTACCTGCTAGACTGACTTTCTGGAGGGTAGGATATAGGTCACATCCAATTCTATGTCCCCAAGTCACAACATGGCATCTGATATAAAATAGGAGCTCATACTGTTTTCCAGGAGGGAACATGTTCCCAGCACCCTGCTCTGCCTTAGAAGGCATCTTGCACATGGCCTGGCAAGAGTTGCAAGTAAAGGAACACCTCACTTAGGTAAAAGAGAACAGGGAAAGGCCATAATCAAAGAGTTTATTTTAGTTTACTTGTACTTTACATTAAAGAAAAAAACAGGAGCTCAGCTAGCATTTAAAGAATAGTAATAAATAAAATTATGTACTTGAATTCTGTCCCCAGTGAAGGATATGGAGAATAAGTCCAAGGACATTTCCCCTATCTGCAGCTATTCCCCCCACCCACCTGCTCTGGGGTAAAATTGAAGCATTTGTCATTTACAAGTCCAGGCTTCAGTCAGAGGGAAGGAACACAAAATGAACTCTCACCTGACTGGCACCTAATCTCCCACCCTTAGGAATCAGGCCACACCAATACAATGAACCCCAGGAACTACCCTCCAGGCCCACCCTGAAGGAATCCTGTATAACCTAGACCCTTGCTTTAGAGGGCAGCCACACCTCCACCCTCCACACCCCCACACCCCTGTATCAGATGATAAAGAAGAGCTTGCTGATCTGAGTTCTGCTTCCTATCTCCCACTTCCACCATTTGTGCTTATACCCAGGTCCCTTAAGTAGTATAAGAAATGGAGAAGTGCTGTGTCATGCAGACAAAGTGCTGGTTATCAGGAGTTGGAGAGGCAGCCTGGCCGGTTGAAATAATAAGCTTGCTTTAATTTGATTTTAATTGGAGTCAATGGTCTTTTCTTGTGTCCTGGTCTAACAGCAGAAGGATTATGAGTTGGAGAATAACCTGGACCAAGCAAGACCTCACCTCAAAAAGAAAGAAAGAAACAAAAAGAGTGACTCATTGGTAAAGTGCTTGCCTGGCAGGTGTGAGGCCCTGAATTTAATCCCCAGTTCTGAAAAAAAAAGAAAGGGAGAGAAGAGTGGGGGAGGGGGGAGAAGAATACAACTTTTTTGAAAAGAGAGGGAATCTGCTGAGCTCTCATCTATATAAATGATTGTGGAGTTTCCCCAGAGATCAGTGAAGATTTCAGAACTGTTTGGGAAGAGGCTTTCTCAAAGGGCCTGCTAAGTACCTCTAGCTCTATTTCAACACCTATGCTATTGTCTTCTCCTCACTTGTTGACAATGATCTTGAAAAATTCTTTCTGTTTTATTTATCTTTGTCGTGTCAAATGTATTGCTGTAACTGGCTTAAGAGTGCTTAATAAATTAAGGATATATTGAATATTTTTGAGATGTAGAATTATTTTAACTATAAGGTTTGGTTTGATTTGATTTGGTTTGGCTTGGTACTGGGGATTGAACCCAGGGGCACTTCACCATTGAGCTTTTTATTTTTTGAAACAGGGTCTTGCTAAATTGCTGAAGCTGGATTCCTATTTTAGCCTCCAGAGTCGCTGGGATTACAGAGGTGTGCCACCATGCCTGGCAGGAAAAAATTCTTGAAAATTCCTGTATTGGTTTAATTTATTAAATTTATTTAAGTTTTATTAATTTTTTTTCTGAAGCTGGCATTTTAATAGGTTTCCCAAAAAGCAATTTTGGAAAAAAAAATACCATCTCAGGAAAACATTCTCCCTGTTAAAGACTACTACCCTTTGCTGCTGCTCAATTGTTGCAACTTGAAATATACAAGGCAAGGTTCCTGCAGGCAATATCCTCCATGAATGTGGCTATAACTGCTACTCTGGGACTCCTTTTGGGCTTTGCATACCTATCCTGCCTACACCCCTGGGTTAGTGACTCAGTTTTCCACCACTTTTTTCTTTGTACAAAGTTCCATGAAACCTTTGTTCATAAGTGTTCTTTGACAACATTTGGCCTTAACTTAACAAAGCAGTAATTACTTCACAGCACTAATTTGCCGTGGGAGACAGTTACCTGACTCATCAATAGCCATTGTCTCTTCTATGTTGCTTACTAGATATAACCAGTAAGGCAATTCAATAAATGAGTTTAAAGCAAGGTCCTAAGGCAGCAATCATTTTAACATTAAGTCTTGCTAAACTAATGCTAGCCTACCATAAACTCATAAACCATTAAAATTAAACCTATAAACCATTAAACCAAAATGTTTTCAAGTAATTATAATAAATGAAAAATAAAATCAAGGAAACCAGATTCATAGGAAAACACCCATTTATGAGGTTATCTAAATTATTTGGAATATGTTCATGTTAATTTTTTTTTATTATCACTGAAAGAAAAACATGTTTTTTTTATTTTTTTTAGTTGTTGGTGGACCTTTATTTTATTTATTTACTTATATGCGGTGCTGAGAATCAAACCCAGTGCCTCACACACGATAGGCAAGCACTCTACCACTGAACTGCAACCCCAGCTCCAAAAAACACTAAGGAAACACTTGGATCGTTAAATTTACAAGAACTCGATTTATGAAGTTATATTTGCCCACAGAGGTCTATGGGTAGCAGTTTGAGAAACATTTAATCAAAGATGATACATATTTCTTTTCTTCTTCTTCTTCTTCTTCTTCTTTTTTTTTTTTTTTTTTTTTTTTTTTGATACCCACTATTTTAATCCATCAAAAAATCATTATAGAGATAGGAATGTAGCTGCCCAGGCTGGTCTCAAACTTGCCATCCTCCTACCTCAGCCTCTCAGGTAGTTGGCATTACAGGCATGTGCCAACAACACCAGGCCCTCCACCCACCCAATTTTAAGAGATCTACAATGAATATACAGAAACATCTCAGACCAGAGTTGTAAAAAGTACATGAATCAACCATGGATAGTTGTGAGCCAGACAAGTAGCAGATTTTTAGCTTAAGTTTATAGAATTAAAGTTGGTTTTTATCTCCAGCCATCTGATGCTCCAGGGAGTAGTTAATTCTCAGATTCTTTTTCTTAGCACCAAATCCCTGTAGAAGTAAATATTGTTTCAGTTATTTTTCAACCACAGCACTATTGACATTGAGATCTGATAATTCCTTGTTTGGGGGTTGAATTGTGCATAATAGGATGTTTAGCAATATCCTGGCCTCTGCCCTCTAGATGATAGAAGTATCCAGACACACATTGCCAACTGTCCCCCAGGGTACAGAATCACCTCCGATTGAGAACCACTGAACTAGAGAAAGTTAAATAAATGACTGGTAGATTTCTCTCCTATCTAATCTGATCCATTTATCCTGGCTAGCAGAATCAGCTCAATCTGAAATCAGGAAAGAAAATCCTTTACCTTTTTTTAATGCATTCATACTTATAGTCATTGCACTGGCCAGAGCTTCCAGAAAAGAGTGCCTTGCTCACCAGAAGCACTGCAATTAGAAGAAAGATGATTTGGGGACTATAATATCTCTTTGGTTTGACAGGAGAAAACAGAAATAAACCACAAAAGGTTCTGAGAAAGCACACAGATGGAAAAGGAGAACTTTACCTCTGGGCAAGAATGCCTCACTCTGATTCACTCCTAACTCCACCACACCTCTAACCACAGATGTGATCCAACCTTTCACAACATCTTTAAACATGTTCCCTTGGCTGATTATAGGCTATAATTCTGAAACTAGATGCATCACTACATTCTCTCCTACCATCACCAGAGGAATGTTAGGCAGACAGATGGACCCTAATTTGAGAACTCTTAAGACAAAAGAGTGGGTTTTGAGAGAGGGCTATCCCAGATTGATGAATAGTTGGGGCACTTGACAAAAGATGTTAGTAGAGGTCTGATAACCTGCCTCTAACCTGCTTGTCATGTATGATTCACCAAGCCTCGAGAAAGGTTGTCCACTAGCACACACCTGTAATCCAAGTGACTATGGAAACTGAGACAAGAGAGTAGAGAGTTCAAAGCCAGCTTCAGCAACCGTGAGGCAATAAGCAATTCAGTGAAACCCTGTGTCTAAATAAAATACAAAATAGGGAGCTGGGGATGTGGCTCAGTGGTCTAGTACCCTTGAGTTCAATCCCCGCACCAAAAAAAAAAAAAGGAAGGGAAGAAGGTTACAGGCTGTGGATTTGGCTCAAGCGGTAGCACGCTCGCCTGGCATGCGTGTGGCCCGGGTTCAATCCTCAGCACCACATACAAACAAAGATGTTGTGTCTGCCGAAAACTAAAAAATAAATATTAAAAATTCTCTATGTCTCTCTCTCTCTCACCTCTCTCTTTAAAAAAAAGGGGGGGGGGGAAGAAGGTTAGAAGGTTGGCCCTTTCTAATTCTGAAGTAACTAATTTAAAAAGTCTTCACGTGTCTGAAACCAGATTTATCTCCCCTAACTCTTCTCTTTCTCAACTTAAACATCCTTGTTGCCCCAACTATTCCATAATGTGACATGATTTCCAACTCCTTCTCACTGAGACCTCCCCATAGCATTTGGTTTAGCATAAAATTCAATCTCCTTCCTTAGCTGAACATACAGGCCCTCTACAACCTGACCCTTGTCTCTCCTCTCTCACATCTCACAGTGCTCTAGTCATAAAGCACTGATTGCATGGAGGGTAATATTGCAGATTACTTTGTTCTTTCACATCCTGTATCCTGTCTGTTTAATTCCTGCTTGTCCAGAACTGAGATATTGCCAGTTCTTGAACACCTTTCCTGATAGACTCCCCATACCCAGTTTGATTTTCAGTGCCCCTTCCTCTGAATTTCCACCATACTCTGTATATTTCTGTCACAGATAGCACTCATAACAAGATTGTGTAATCATTTATTATTTTTTCTCTTCTCCCAGCTGACCATGATCATAGTGAGTCAAGGTTATGTTGGCTATAAGTAACTTGGAGCATTGAAGAGGAACAAGTTGAGAACCATTATATAGAACTATCTATTCCTTAGGGCTGGGCTACAACCTCACTTGTGTATACCAGCATCCAGAACATGGCCTATAAGCAATTGGTGCTCAGTGAATGTGAAAATGGATGCATGATACTTCAGGGAAAAGGTTATTTCTCTCAGTTGGTTTATTAGCCAGTTTTGTTGTTGTTGTTGTTGTTGTTTGTTTGTTTGTTTGTTTGTTTCTGTAATGAAATACCTGAGGCAAGCTAACTGTATAAAGAACAGACAGCCAGGAGCAGTGGCACAGGCCTGTAATTCCCAGCAACTTAGGAAGCTAAGGCAGGAGGATCATAAGTTTGAGGCCAGCCTGAACAATTTAGCAAGACACTGTCTCAAAAAATGAAAAAGTCTAGGGATGTAGCTCAGTGGCAGAGCTACCAGATACCCCAATACTGCAAAAAAAAAAATAATAATAATAATAAATTAATAGATTTACTTAGCTCACAGCTTTGGAGGCTAGAGGTACAGGCACTTGTGAGGGCCTTCTTTAGCTGCATCACTTCACGGAAGATGGTCGTCGTAGTCTTCTTCTTCTTCCTCCTCCTCCTCCTCCTCTTCTTCTTCTAGTTGTATATGACACAATATTTTATTTATTTATTTTTATGTGGTGCTGAGAATCAAACCCAGTGCCTCACACATGTTAGGCAAGCACTCTACCATTGAGCTACAACCACAGCTGGAAGATGTCCTTGCTGGCAGAGTCCCGAGGTGGCCCAAGTCATTACATGGCAAAAGACAGATAATGTGTATCTTTGTGTCTGGCTTCTATTACTCTTCTTATAAAGCCATCAGGATTCAATAATGAGTACTCCATCCTAGTGACTATATCTAACCTTAATCATTTTCTAAATGCTCCACCTCTAAACACCTCTCAACACTATTAACATATGACTTTTGGGATTAAACTACTGCAAGCATTCTAGGAGACAAAACATATCTAAATCATAGCAAGTGGCTAACTACACATTTGATAATCTCATTTTTGAGTGTCATGAGAATGAAAATGGGACTTATTTGGAGCAAGGAGACTGATAGAATCTTCTCCTCATCCCATTCATCTGTATCTGTCATGAGTATACAATCCCCTTTTCTTGTAAGGTACACAGAATGTGCTGAACAGGTATTTACTAAACTAATCAATTTCTCTATTTCACTTTCAGAGACTGAGATACTTGCTTCCTTCCCATAGACTAGCAAGGTTAAATATAAAATAAAATATAGTTCCTCCAGGTATTTATTACTTTCTGAGTTTACTAGGAGCAGGGAGCATTGCAAATCACCTTCCACTTACATTTAGCCAACTACAACCACTTTGGTCTAGATGATGGTCCAGAATTGCTGACAGAAGAGAATTTTACTTAGGGATAACTAATCTAGGCCTGGGACTCCCACTGTGACTTCTTTTTTTTTTTCCAAAACA